CGCGCGCACACACACGCACGCACACACACACACACACACACACACACACACACACACACATTCAACCAAAGTTAATGCATAGTAATGCTGCCCGTATTATTCAGGGAATACAAAGCAATCAATATGAAGTTCAGTTATGTGGGAATGAAACCTCAACTGTGATAAACCATCAAAAAGAAAAATTAAGGCTAATAGGGACTAAAGAAATGCATAGCAAGAGAGGCAGAAATGACTAGTGGGAAGTCTCTGTCATTCGATCGATGGCACAATCACTGCATGTAGCACAGACAGTGTACTTCCTTGGCCTGAAGAGTATTCTGAGCAGCATCAAGTCCATCCATCACCAGGCACCCAACGGCAGTTCTTCCCATCAAAACTGAGACTACTTCCATTAGTAAACCACAAAAGCTGTTGCTAGTAGGACTGAAATAACCCATCAACTTCAAGGCTACACTTCTTTCATTGTGACTATGTATGAAGGCAAAGGTTATAGTCAGTATAGATGTAGAAGGTAGCTAAAAATAAATTTGTAATACAAAGCCAGAATAGCATGTGTTTAATGCAAAATTCTAGCCTTGAAATCAATACAATACACTCACATCTATGCTAAATTCTGCCTATCACCAGTAGAATATAACATCTCCAGGCATTGTCAGGGATCTCCCAAATATGAACTTTTTTTTTTTTTTTTACTCTTTTTTTTTTTTATTGTTGGTCGTTCAAAACATTACACAGTTCTTAATACATCATCTTTCACAGTTTGATTCAAGTGGGTTATGAACTCCCAACTTTACCCCATATACAGATTGCTGTTTCACATCAGTTACCCTTCCATTGATTGACATCCAAATATGAACTTTTATAATTATATTTAGCCAATGACTTATGATATAGGCTGATTAAATAGTGAAGCTATAAATTAAGCCCCAGAAAGTATTCAAATATGTACTTAACCTGAGAGCAATGTGCCTAGAAGTGCTGCACAGAGCACATCATAGAGAACCATGGAAATACAATCAATAATATTACTTCATAAAATTTTTATCTCCTAGGAGCCAAAAATTATGAACATGAATCATTTATTCCACATGAATGTAAGCAACTATGAGCATGAGTGGAGTAAACAAAGAAAGGAAGTGAAAAATTCAAAGGAAATGAGGGTGGGGAAGGGGAGGTAGAGCGAGAGGAAAAAATTTTAATGGTTGAATGTAATTATCAAAGTTAGAACTGGTCAAATGCCACCAGGAACAGCACTGTAAACCTGAGGTCAATAATTATGGGATTCAAAACAAAAGTCACACAGGAGTAGGAACCATTTTTAATACTTAACTAACGTCAAACCTTTACAAAATGTGTTACTATAGCTTTTTAAGCTTTAATGCTGCTAGCAAAGCTTATTGAAGTCTCTAACATTACCAAAGAGCTATACATGAGAATACAAAGAAAGAACAATAAAGCAGTGTACACAAAGTCCAAAAAAGAGAAAGTGGGAGGAAAAACAGATAAAATGAAAGTCAAGAGCAAGGAAAGGAGGAATGCTGTCAGTATCTGCTCCAGAGAGGCTACCAGTGTTAGGTACTTATACCACCCCAGAACAAAGGGGTTTCTAAATAGAGGTATGAGGGCCAGAAAAGGAGCCAAAAGTGGAAGTAAATGCTTTACCCAATTGTTAGACTCCACCTGCCACTTCCAGATTGAAACAATTTGATACACATTCTAGAAACAGGTATTTTAGAAGGTTCTGAGCATCCAAAAAGTACAAAATTCACATACTAAGGCCCATACACATCACTCAGAAAATTAGTGAATATTTTCCCTTTACACTTAACTGAAATAAATATCATTATTTAATCACCACCAACAGAAATGTGACAGTAATTGCTAGACACTAGCATGCCACTGGCAACAAAAATCAACAGCAAGAGGAGTCCAAAAAAACCCATTAAAAAAAAAAAAAAAACATAAAAAGCAGTCAAAAGCACTCCAAAACACAGGCCATCCAACACAGGGTTTAAAACCACTCCACTCCATGGCAGGCTCTGAAGGACTGCCATCCAGAGGAGACAAGCCCTGAAAGGCACAGCAGTCTTTTACTGCTTCATTTGAAAAAGACAAGCAAGCATGCAATCCATTCTAGGAACACTTAGAAAAAAATGGGCCCAAAGAGAAAAACTTCAGTTATTTGAAAAATTTGGCTCTTCTAAATGACTCATTTTGAGGACCATAGACAGCCAAGTTTTAGCACATGGCATGCGTGTCAATTTTATGAGCAAACCAAGTTAAATACAAAATATTTTCAATACTAAAACCAAAAGATAACTCTAGATTTTCAAAACATCCTAACTTAAAGTACCTCTCAAGTCTCTATTTCTTCCTACATTTCTCAATTTTTATTGATAAAGTTGAAATGTATGAAAATTTTACATTTTAAAGCTTAACATCTTTTAGGGAATTTAAAGTAGAAGAAACTGTACCAAATAGATGATATGTAATTATTATTTTATATGTCCTAAGAGCGCTACAAGTGACTACTTTAAACAAGTCAATCCTAAATGTCTCACATACAAGTGGATAACATAGAATGACACTACCTCTATAACTATCACCAATAGTGTTAAAATTCAAATTATTTTCAAGCACTTTTCTTACTTTACATTTTCTAGTTTATCCTCTTATTTAATTATTTGCATATCTGTTAAGGCTTCAAGTAATAAAGAAATGTATGAAGGAGATGAAGTCTAACTTGTCAATAGATTGCCAATACTACCACCTTGTGGCCAAAAAATCCATAAAATTGTTTTAGTATTAAAGCAGGTCCACTTTATCAACTGTTGAAACACTATATTTTTAGATCTGAACAGAATTTATGGTTGTGTGGTTCAAGCACTACTGAAAAGCCATATGGAAGTTACATAAGAAAGTTTGAGAGCATATGTAAACAGACCCTTTCAAATTACAATGGGATAACATTGTATAATGTGATTTATTTTTCTTTAAGTAGGTGCCTTAAAGGCATGGTGTTCTTTGTCAGTTTCAACAAAATTAACTCTGATGGAACTTCTTATTCTTAACTTTTATGTATTTGTTTTTGGTACTAGGAACTGAACTCAGGGGCACTCAACCACTGAGCCCCATCCCCAGCCCTATTTTATATTTTATTTAGAGACAGGGTCTCTCTGAGTTGCTTAACGCCTTGCCCTTGCTGAGGCTGGCTTTGGACTCTTGATCTTCCCATCTCAGCCTCCCCAACTGCTGGGATTACAGGCATATGCCACTGTGCCAGCTTTATTTCTTGATTTTGAGATAGAGTCTCATTAAATTGCTAGGGTCTCGTTAAATTGCTAAGGCTGACCTCAAACTTAGACTTGCACCACTGTGCCCAGCTAATGGAGCTTTCTAAAGAGCATGAACTCTCTTGGTGAGCTACAGCTGGACTGGGACTGCATGAATTTGGATATAGCTTACGTTGGTAAGCAACCAGGGGAAATTAGTTGAATCTAAAGAAGGAGCAAGGGCCAAGTTCCAAAACCACATGAAATAACATTGAGTATTCTCTGTGATATCATCCTGGCCTTTTGGTGCCTTCCCACTGACATGAGAGGAGGGGCCCTTCAACTCAACAATTTGTTGACCACATTCCCCTATGGCTTTCCTAGGTGGAGGGAAATGGTTAAAAAGCAGAGATGAGACAAAATGTCTTTATTCATTACAGCAACCCACTTGAGTAACACCAACAACCCTAAAATTAATGCTTAATATTCACATAATACATATCTATGACCAAGATGGAGAAACAGGAATTGAATCACTTTCCCACTTGAAACAACCATACAGCAAAAAAAAAAAAAAAAAACAATAAAAATAAAAAGCAACCCAGATGAAACAATGATTTTCACGATACTGGATATAAGACAATAAAAGATATTGATTTGGGGCTGGGGTTGTGGCTCACTGGTAGAGCACTTGCCTAGCACATGTGAGGCCCTGGGTTCTATCCTCAGCACCACATAAAAATAAGTAAAATAAAGGTATTGTGTACAACTAAAAAAATAAATATTAAAAAAAAAAAGATACTGATCTCTGAGGGATAGGAAGCGAATGTTGAGCCCTACCAGTCAGCCAGCTTATGATACTGAGCTCTTTCAGGTCACAGCATAGGGAGACAGTGATAAGGTAAAGCCCAGAAGACTCCCTAATTAGAGGAGAGACAGTTGAGACCAATGTGGCTGAAGTTCATGGGACATAGTATCAAAGAAGAGAGAACTGGACAGAGAACTCCAGAGATCTGCAGAGGGTCACCCAGGAGTATTAGGTAGAGAACTGATGAGTGCCTACATGGAGGAAACTATCCAAAACTGGGGAAGGAACTGAAAAAATTAGAGGGAACAGCACACAGTGTTTACATGCTGGCTGGATGTTCTCACAAGCCAGATTAGAAAAACTCAGTTCATAAGGTACTAGGTATAGTACTTTGTAGCAGGAAATACTTAGTACTAGACTAAACACTGTTCCAAACCTTCTAAACAAAAAATAGAAGCAGACCCAAAAGGATCAACAGTTTTCAACTAACAACTGCATACCAGAACAAAGCTCAAGAAGCTTTATAAATATTCAGCACCCAAAGTAAAATTCACTATGTCTGGCATTAATCAGCAGATATGCAAAAAGACAGGAAAATATAAGCTATGAAACTAATCCATCCATCAATCAAAACTGACCCATAGTTGACATGTTAAAATTAAAAGGACATAAAAACGGTTTTCAAATTAAAACTGTATTCCATATGCTCAAAAAGTTAAGTAGACACAAAAGGAATAATAATAATAAAAAGCCCAAAGTGAATTCTAAATATGAAATGTAGGGGCTGTTCGATCCTCAGCACCACAAAAAAATAAATAAGTGAAATAAAGATATTGTGTCCAACTACAACTAAAAAATAAATATTTAAAAATAAATATGAAATGTATAATGTTTCAGATGAAAAAATACACTGGATAGGAAAAAAGATTAGTAAGCATAAAGAAAAACCAATAGAAACCATCAAAAAGGGAGGGAAAACATCCAAAAGAAATAAACACAGGAAAAAAGGATTTTAAAAAAAGAAAAGTACATCAGTGGGCTATGGATAACATCAATGCACTAATATATGGATAATTTCAGTTCCCAAAAGAGGGAAATAACAGAAAAATATTTGTACCAATACTGCTAAAAAAACAAAAAAAAACTTCATGAAGATGATAAACTTAGGATCGAGGAAATTCAATAAACCCTAAATGAAAAACAAAGAAAACTGCATCAAGGCACATCACAAATTGATAAAAACAAAACAAAACAAAAAAACAGTTGTTATGGTTTAGATATGAGGTGTCCGCCAAAAACTCTCATGTGAGACAATGCAAAAAAGTTTAGATCAGGCTATGAAAGGCTTAACTGAATCAGTGCATTACCCATTTAGGTGGATTAATAGGGTAGTAACTATAGGCAAGTAGGGTGGTGGCTGGAGAAGACAGGTCACTGGTCACATATACAGCCTTTGGGGTATATATTTTCTCTGACGAATAAAGCTCTCTTCGCTTCCTGATTGTCCTGTTCTGAACTGCCTTCTTCTGCCACACCCTCTACTATGATGTTCTGCCTCACCTCTGGCAAAGAGCAATGGAGTTGGCCATCTATGGACCAAGACATGTGAAACTGTGAACCCCAAGTAAACTTTTTCTCCTCTAAAATTTTTCTTGCAAGGTCTTTTAATCACAGTAGCAAAAAAAAGCCGACTAAAACATCAATGATAAAGAAAAAATCTTAAAGTCAGCCAAAGAGAAAAAAGACAAGGTGTGCATAGAGGATTAAAGATAAGTATGACATCAGATTTTTCATTGGAAGTAATGCAAATGAGAAGACAGTATCATGGCAACCTTGAAGTACTTAAAGAAAAAAACCTGTCAATGTAGAATTCTGTATCCAGAAAAAGTATCATTTGAAAATGAAGATAAAAATAAAGATGTTACAGACACATAAACTTTCAAGGTCATGGATATGCTCATCATCTCAATTGTGGTGAAGATTTCATAATTTATCAGATTATATACTTTAAATATTTACAGTATTTATTCCTTAATAAGCTCTTAAACTATATATGTACACCTGTGACATTTGATACTGAACCAAATAAATAAAGGTACTTGGAACAAACAACTAACAGAACTTTCAGGAAAATGTTCCAATGTTACAATTATCCAACCTCTTCACAAGACAGAATACCTGGAAGTAGGGTACCTTACCTTAAAAAAGGAATGAATAGCAGCTGTGGCTTCACTGCGAACCCTCAATATAGAACCCAGAGCGTTAGTCCTACACCTCAGGTGAGGATATTGTCTCATGTACTCCAGAGGATGCCTCTCTTTATATTTGATAGGGAATGCCTGCCAATAAATAAGGAAAAAATTAGAAGCTAAAAAAACAAACAAAAAAATCCTGTTTTATAAAACCAGTTTCCAGAGCATTTCCTAAATAGTAGCGCTTCAGAGAAAATAAGATGCTTTCCTCCTTTATTTCTTAATATAACAGATTATATAGCCCACATAATTTTTACCAGGTAGAAGAATGGTGGGATGGATTCAGAGAGATGTGGGTTTGAAGCCAGCTTAAGTATTTATTAGCTAAATTAATTAATATCACTGAGGCTTATCTATTATTTACCAAGTTTCTATCCACTAGCTGTCTGTGACTTCTTACAAATAAAGAGGTTAAGCATATAATTATGCAAAACAATCCACTGTTTGGCACAAAGTAGTTCAGAATATTGTAGATATTAAAGACTACATTTTCTACCATTGTACACACACAGCTGGGGTTCAATTTTAAAATCACACAAATGTCTTGAATACCCACAATCATATCAGCTAGTGCCAATTTATTACTGTTTATCAACATGTCACTGGGTCTAAGAACATGAGGAACAGTCAACAGCTATCTTTCATTTAGCAGAGTACTAAAAATCCACAAAAAAAGTTTAAAGAAACTTAAGGCTCCAACCTGAAATATTTCTCCATGTCCACACTTATATTACAAGATTAAAAAGTCATATCCTTTCAGACAGAAACCAAAGACTCAAAAGAAAGATAATACAAAAGCTGAATAAGAGCTACACATGCACATTGCTTTAGTCTCGTCTTTTTAGGTCTGGTGCACACACTGATTTTTATAGTACACAGAAACAAGTACCATGCTTGCCAAGAAGAAAATATAGCCACAAGAATATATCTGGGATTGTTGGGGGTTCAGAATCCCTAAAGCCTAAATACTTTGAATGATGCTGAACTGAAGAAGGGAAGCAGGAAGGAGCCTCTGACCACAGCACAGTGTACCGTAACCCTGTCTGCTGTGATCATTAACCTTTCTGGAAAATGAAGCTGGCAATTCTCTGAGATTTGTCATTAGAATGTGAGGACAGAAACACAGATTGCAGAGACTATTTACAGATTGCTTTGTTTACTTTAAGAGCAACTGCTCCACTTGCGAGTGGCAGGAAAATGAGATTTCAACAAATTATTTTGTGTTTTTAATTTTTATGACGAGTCTCCTTATCAACAGGCAGATACCAGCTAATTTGGCCCTGAGAAGAAAAATGCACAGATACAACTGCCTTTAGAGGAGATGTATGCCTCTCCACTCATGAATTCCCTTCCCCTGGGATATAGACTTCTGCAGCTGATTTCACTGTGTCTACCAGAAGAAGAGTGGTGAAAGAGAGATTTCAACTGCTCCAAAGAGCTGTGTCTATAGGAGGACTGCTTAGGCTTCATCATACAAAAAAGAATTGTCTGAAAGTATGGGGATGATATTTTAGTTCACAAAACTGCCTTCTTGCTGATTGTAATTAGAGGAAAAACAACAAATTCAAAAGTGATTCCAGTCTGAAGCACAATTATTTGCTTGCATAACAAAAATCTCTCATCTTTTTTTCTATACATTATTATTATACTGATGAAAAAGAAAACCATCTTTTTAAGTCTTAGAACTTTCTAAAGGTAAAAACTGCGATAATTAAAAAAAATTTTTTTCATATTCCTATGAGTCTCTAAAAGTATTAGTGTTGTATACGTTTGAGTGATTCTTAAAAAACATAAATGCTACTTAGAAATGCAAGAAACTATAAACCAGATTAAAAACGCTAACGAGAATATTACAAATAGACTAGATCAAGTAGAGGTCAGAACATCAGATAATGAAGACAAAGTTTATCAACTTGAAAAGAATATAGTCAACACTGAAAAGATGCTTAAATCTCACGAGCAATCTATCCAAGAGATATGGGATCTCATCAAAAACCAAATTTGAGAGTCATTGGGATAGAAGAAGGCACAGAGGTTCAAACCAAAGGAATGGACAACCTATTAAATGAAATAATCCTAGAAAACTTCCCAGAGATGAAAGATGGAATGGATTGCCAAATCCTGGAAGCCTACAGGACCCCAAACATCCAAAACTGTAATAGACCAACTCTAAGACATATAATTATGAAGATAGCCAACATACAGAACCAAGAAGAGAATATTAAAAGCTACAAGGGAAAGGGGGCAGATTACATTCAGGGGTAAACCAATTAGGTTAACAACTGATTTTTCATCACAGACTTTGAAAGCGAAAAGATCCTGGAACAATGTATTTCAAACGCTGAAAAATAATGGATTCCAACCAAGAATACTGTAAACAGCAAAATTAAGCTACAGATTTGACAATGAAATTAAAATCTTTCACGATAAACAAAAGCCAAAAGAATTCACAGCCAGAAAACCAGCACTGCAAAGCATGTTGGGCAAAATTCTACAAGAAGAGGAATGAAAAAATAGTGCCCAAAACCACCAGCGGGAGGTATCTCAGTAAAGGGGAAGGAAAACAACCAAAAAGTAAAAACTAGCCAAACTAAAATAAATAAATAAATAAACATGACTGGAAGTACAAATCATATTTCAATTGTAACCTTAGATGTTAATGGACTAAACTCACCAACCAAGAGACACAGGCTAGTAACCTGGATCAAAAAAACAAATCCAACAATATGCTGCCTTCAGGAGACTCATATGATAGGAAAAGACATACACAGGCTGAAGGTGAAAGGTTGGGAAAAATCATACCACTCACATGGCCCTCGGAAGCAAGCAGGAGTGGCCATACTCATATCGAATAAAAACAACTTCAAACCTAAGTTAATCAAAAGGGATAAAGAAGGACACTATATCTTGTTAAAAGGAACTATCCACCAACAAGACATAATAATTATCAATTTATATGCACCAAATAATGGTGCAGCAACGTTCATAAAACAAATTCTCCTCAAGTTCAAGAGTCAAATTGACAATAATTATGGGTGACTTCAACACACCGCTCTCGCCATTAGACAGATCCTCCAGACAAAAGCTGAATAAAGAAACTATAGAACTCAATGACACAATCAATAACCTTGACTTAACCGACATATATATAATAAATCAACCTTCATCAAGTGGATACACGTTCTTCTCAGCAGCACATGGATCTTACTCAAAGACAGATCATATATTATGCCATAGGGCAACTCTTAGTAAATATAAAGGTGTGGAGATAATACCATGCACCATATCTGATCATAATGGAATGAAACTGGAAATCAATGATAAAAGAAGGAAGGAAAAATCCTGCATCACATGGAAAGTAAACAATATGTTACTGAATGATCAATGGGTTACAGAAGACATAAAAGAGGAAATCAAAAAATTCTTAGAGATAAATGAAAATACAGACGCAATATATCGGAATCTATGGGACACAATGAAAGCAGTTTTAAGAGGAAAATTCATTTCCTGGAGTCCATTCCTCAAAAAAAGAAAAAACCAACAAATAAACGAACTCACACTACATCTCAAAACCCTAGAAAAGGAAGAGCAAAACAACAGCAAATATAGCAGAAGATAAGAAATAATTAAAATCAGAGCGGAAATCAACAAAATTGAAACAACAAAAAAAAAAACATTGAAAAAATTGATAAAACTAAAAGTTGGTTCTTTGAAAAAATAAATAAGATCGACAGACCCTTAGCCATGCTAACAAAGAGAAGAAGTGAGAAAACTCAAATTACTAACATATGGGATGAAAAAGGCAATATCACAACAGACACTACAGAAATACAGAAGATAATTAGAAAGCATTTTGAAACCCTATATTCTAATAAAATAGAAGA